GACAGCTGTTTCGTCCTAGTTTGGGACTCTTCATCAGTACGCGCCCATGGGGGGTTCGAACCCAAGACCTTCTGGTTACCAGGCGACCTCGTATACCATTGAGCCACTGGGACTGGATCCAATGGTCCATGAATTCTAACTTCTGCCAATTCACGACATAGCGCAACCATTCCGCAATGTCTTCTTCGATGAGTTACTGCCTCATCTTCAACCTGCGCTTTAGCTGGTTAGGTAATATATGTGTATATATATGTTTCAGTGTTTATTACAATCTCACATAGAAGCGTTCATTAAAAGTTATACATGAATTCAAATACATTCACACTCAGTGCTCTTTTTTTACTCACTATATTACCATTATTGTAAAGGTGTTTTTTGATAATTATATATATATATATATATATATATATATATATATATATATATAGGTAAACTGGGAAGTACCAATATGAATTATTGATTTCTTATTGTATGGTTTATATGTATTATTCGTTTAGAAACACCTGAAATGTCATGATGGAAATTATTGTGGTGGTTTTGTTTAGCCTTGTGTGTATTCTGTGAAAATAAATCATATGATATTCTGTTGACACATTTTTAGGGATGTTGTGCACGTATGTATGTATGTATGTATGTATGTGTGCGTGTGATGCACAGTGATGTTAATGATAAGTGATGTTCATCATTCTCTTTCTTTTTTATACCGATGTAATATACATATTAATATACCATCCTATATGCTTTCAAGTGTATGACACTTGATATGCTTCTGTCTATGAGGTAGTATAAGTTTTTCCTTCAAAGTGTCTTAGAGTTTGTTTATTTCGTATTTTTTGAATCGCTGTGTTTGATATATTCGATTTTTGATTCAAGTGTTATGTGTCTGATTACTGTCTAATCTTACAAGAATTCCATAGCTAAATGGTATATAGGTTGACTTAGAATGTGCAGACGATATAGTCCTTCTAGGCGAGGACGCTGACAAAATGCAGAGTCTTCTGAATACCTTGAGCTGCAATCTACGAATGTTTGGCATGCGATTCGCCCCTGTAAAATGTAAGATGATGCTGCAGGATTAGACTACACCGACCCCTAGATTAGAAATAGGAAGTGAAGTGGTAGAGCACGTTGACCGCTTCACTTATTTGGGAAGTACCATCAGCCCCAACGGGTTGATCTTCGATGAAATCCCAGCACGAATACAGAGGGCTAGTTTCGCATATGCCAGTTTACGCCTGTTTTGGCGTAGACGTGATATCCGACTATCGACCAAAGGGCGTGTGTACTGCTCAACAGTTCGCTCCGTCCTCCTTTATGGCTGTGAGACCTGGCCATTGAGAGCAGAAGACATGAAAAGATTATCTGTGTTCGATCATAGGTGTCTGCGTTCTATCTCCCGTGTGAAGTAGTATAGTAAGGTGAGTAATATTGAGGTTAGGCGTTGGTCGAGTGCTAGGTGAGAAGGGGAAATCAATATACGAAACTGTGAAATTACATCGACTGAGATGGTTAGGACAAGTGTTACGTATGCCTAGTCATCGATCGCCCTCCTCGACGGGCAATGTTAGCTGACATAGGGCCAGGCTGGAAAAGAGCCAGTGGTGGTCAAACCAAAACATGACACCAGTCAATGAAATCTACAACAGTTAGTTTAAGCCACGTAAGAAGGTGTAGACTTCCTGACTGGTTGGGGTCCTCGGGATGGTAAAAACCAATGGTTCGAAACAATTGGTGACATGGCTCAAAATCGTCCTCAGTGGCGCAGATGCATCCACTCCTTGTGACTCATGATTTCCAATGAAGCTGTTTTGTTCTTCGTTATTACTATACCTTTGTCTCTCACCTCTGTTTACTGTCTCTGTTATGCATTTCTCCTACTTTCTTCTCTTGCTTTGTGTGCTCCAAGGAGGGAGTGTGGCGACTTGAACTGGCGCACATATGTGCAAAGTTCTATGTCGAAAACAGACAGACAAATGGAATATAGAAATATTATGGCATGGTCTCCGTGATTTCAGATTAGTTACGTTTATTTCGTATAACCAAATAGTGAGGCAGTATTAACAGCTGAATAATGTTTCAAGCACAGTTTATATTATCCACAGTTATATCGATGTATTCATGCAATGCATTTTTTATGATTGTACTCTCTTGTTTTTGTCTGTAATATAATATAATACTATACTATACAATGAATTCCGATTGTCATATGAGTTTATAACAGTGACACATAATCTCAGTGATGCATTACTGTCTAGACGCTGGATGGGGTGTCATTTGACTACTATATGAGCTGCTAGCATGATGATAATAATTTAATATGTTGAATTTTGATGTGATTGTTTGTTGAGATTTGATTTGTTTCACTTTTGATCACGGATTGATAACAGTTAGAGAACCATTCAAATCCAGAAAGTAATGGACAGCTGTTTCGTCCTCGCTTGGGACTCATCAAGAGTATGTACCCACCGGGATTCGAACCGAGGACCTTCTAGTTACAAGGCAAGCTCGTTAGACCATTCAGCCACTGAGATCCGATTCCATAGGCACTCCATGAATTCTAACTTCTACCAATCCGTGATTTTAATGCGACCACCAGCCAGTGGCATCTGCGGTGAGTATTTGCCCTCACTTTCGACTGGGTGGAGTCTACCGATCACGAATTTTCACTAGAACCCCAGTCACTAGCAAGCATTAGATCGATTTTCATGAGTTGATTTGTAAAATCATGAATTGGTAGAAGTTAAAATTCATAGGTTGGCCACTGATTTGGGACCCATTGGGTGGCTTACGCGCTTGCTTTGTAACTAGGAGGTCCTGGGTTCGAATCATGCTGGGTGCGTTCTCCCGATGAGTCCCAAGCTAGGACGAAATAGCTGTCCATTACTTCCTGTATTTCAGTGGTTCTCTAACTGATATCAATCCGTGATCAAAATTGAAATAATATGTTAGAGTGGTATTTCTCATTGCACGAAGCTATACATATCCGTTGAAGTTGATTATTTTATTACCACTACTGTTACTTCCTTGAACTTTATTCAGTATATTGTAATATCGCACCAGTCTACTCATGTTTCTTGTGACTACAAACACAGACACCTGCATCTCGTCATTGTGGCATGGTTGAGATAGTTGTGTTTTTGATTTCTCATTTCTAGCATTTCAAGTGGAACACTAGGCTTCAAGCTTTTTAGAATTTTCACTGTTGATGTTTTTTTTTACGAGGTGTGGTTTTTAACCTCATACCCAACTTGCTCTCTTTTCTGGGCTGACTAATGGCTAGTAAACTAGATCAGGTTTAAGAGGGCGTCGACACGGAATCGAACCCAAACGAGGTGCGTGGTTGGTGGGCATTCTGCCGTTGAGCCACCGAAGCATTTGCGTCTATTAATGCATTCAACACATTGAGTGTATGTGTGATGATGCGGGGGGGGGGACATCGACCATCCGGCACAGTGGCTTGAAATGTTATCACTTATGCTTCAGAATGTAAATTCAGCGGCGAACATGCTGCAGTTGTCTTGTTTGCTAATGAATTCCACCGTGGGTATACTTTGCAAAATTGCTTAGGTTTGTTCTTTCCCTTATTTCTCTTCCGTTTACATCATTGTTATATTGTTTTGTATTTTTTGGAGCACATGTTTTTATCTGAAAAAACAAACAATTCCTTTGCGTTCGGAGCGGAAAACAGAGCTTCAATCTTCAAAGGTTCAGTAGTTGCACTGGGTATGTTTGCTGGCCTCACGCCTAAGTTTCCTCCTTTTCCGAACTTACTACTAGGTAGGTGAGGTGCAGGAGTGCGTTCGTTGGTCGGGAATAGAACCCTGATCTCCCGAGTGGTCAGCTATCATACCGTGTTGAAAACATCAATGCTTTATTTGAATAATAGCTATAATATTCATATGAATATAATTGTGTGTGTGTGTGTAATTTGTCCTTATTTCATTTCTTCACTTTTTTTTCTCTATTAGATCCTAATCGTCTTAAAGAATTACATTTGCGCAATCGTCTACAACCTTCACATTTACGATCAAGTTATCCAGTTGAAACTCAGGTTAGTTAGTTAATTAGTTAGTTGAGCGTTTTTTCTCTTGCATCTGGTTCATTTTGGACAAATATTGCGTCTAAGCTTAAGATACCAGATGCGCTTCACATCTGTTTTATTTAACGCAATTTTTGTTTAGGGTTAAACTAATTCAGGAGTATTTCACTGTTTAAAACGTGTATATTTATTTTCTGATTTTGATTTCTGCTTACTGAATTCTACATAAATTCATGTGGAACACAAAAAAGAAATCGAAATAATAGTTAATAATCAATCTCTACTAATTACTTTGACAGCGGAGTTGTGTCTCATTGGTCTGGGTCGCAGGTCCGAATGCCACTGCACATATTGAGGTTTGGGTACTCCAGGGTAACGTAATCAGCCCTCATGCAATGTATGTGGCTCGATACCCATGTGCATGAGATTGTGAGTGGTTGTGGATTAATTTAAATTCTGAACTTCTTCCAATAATAAACTATGTGCTCAAGCTTGAATTCATTGCCGCTAAATCTTCCGATGTGCGTCGGTGGCATAGTGGTTAGGACACTCGCCGACCATGCACATGGTCCGGGGTTCAATCCCCGGCCGACGCACTCCTTTACCTTGCTAAGCCAGAAATAATGCTGGTGAAGAGGAAAGGTTGGGCATGAGGCTAACAACCCCATCCTGTAAAATAAGTACTGCTACAGAAACTTGCGGCCACTAGCTTGAAGCTCTATGTTCCACTGGGGAACGTGAAGGAAATAAAAAATAATCTTCATATGAAGACTATACTGTATGTTTGTTTCCTATTCCCGATGATGATAAGTATTTTATCGGTAGCTGATGACCTGTGTTCAGACATTTTGTGCGCGTGTGTGCCTTCAGTTACTTTGCTTATTCATCGTGGAACCAGTCATTAGACAAATTGGAGTAAATAGTTGTCCGGATTGGTATTAGATGGTTGGAGGAAATCGGCAGGAAGCCTTGGACCTAGGTTGGTACTCACCAGTCAGCAAGGCATATCTGCAACCTTGAAGGAACTGATGTCCCTTCTGAGATTCGAACCCGCGTCACCCAGTGCTGCAGTCAGAGACGTTACCACTAAGCTATTCAGGCTCGCGACTGACCTCCTGTAGGACTGTATTGGATATTTTTGATTGCACACTAGTCAGTAACTAGTGTAATGTGTCTAGTCCTATCTTCGGTGCAGACTGAATTTAAATCGATAATTTAAATACTTTATGCCTTAGGCAGTATAAGTTACCATATAGGCTAATTCATCATATAAGGGGGATTATCATCATACAAACCTAACTATGGTCAGAGATGATGATATGCAGTCAGCTATTTAGTAATCTTTGATATAAGACATTTGGTGTCTAACTTCTTTTACTACTCCATTATGGATAAGATTTTATTTTGATAAATCACACAGTGTTACACAGTAATATTTCTACTATTACATTCTTAAGTAACAGAAGTGTTTCTCAATTGCCTTTGTAAAATTATGTATATTTTATTATTTTTTTTCAGGCGATCGATTCAACTGATATTGTCGGCACCTTAAGTCAAATAACTACTGATAACAATCTGTCGAATAAAAACAAAAGTCGAAGTCATAAAGGACATCATCACACAAAAGAGTCTTCCGTATCAAATAGTGCCAACAGTCAGTCTACTATGTTGTACAATACAACAGCAAATAACAATACCAGCGTCACTCGACTTGTTCCATCCGCTTTGTCGAATGATCCGAAACACACCTCGCAAATTAAATCTATCCAAGATAGAAATAACTTTGAATCAGATTCAACTCCTTCACCGTTGGCTGCTGGTTATCAGCCATTACCGAAGGATATACAATCTCTGGGTGAAGCGTTAATTTCAGCATCTGTAGATAGTAAAGCTATGAATTATGTGTTAACCACTCATCCTAATCTGATCAAATCTGTAGTCTCTGAAAAAGAAACTACTCCTTGTAGGTCGTACTCACTGACCACTAACGGCCTTCAGAACGGTGTACATAGGTTATCGTCTTCAGAGAGAAAAATTGTAAGTTTCTGCATTATTTTTTTCACTGTTAGTGATTGGCGAATAAATCTCATGTTCCACTAGTTTGTGTTGTTTATATGCAATATCTTTGTGTTTCTGTATTGTTGACGGTGACTTGAAATTACTGGAAGTTTGCGCGATTGTTTTTGTTGAAAAGGGATGATAACGGTAAAGTATAGTCAAGTGTACCTGTACCAGTGTCCCTGAGTTATACTGTGATTTCATTGCCTCTCTAACCTTAAACACTGAGGTTTATTATTATTATGCCCTCGAATTCTTAACGAAACATACGGCTTTGGTAGCATAGTTGTATTGCACCTTGTCCTGCGCAATATATTTTTTTAGCTGGCTTCACGACTGGTTATAAGCTTTCATTCCCTCTTCACACGATCTCTTCCATCTTATCCTGACACCCAAGCCCAACTCGTCGTTTCCCATTTGGGTTCCACTTGAGGGTCTACCTGACGCGGGATGTGACTCAGTGGTGTCTCTGAATATTTGTATAGCGATAGATTCTTGGTCGATTAGCTACCTCCCAGAGTTCCTTGTCGCCAATCCTTTCAGGCCCACCATCTAATATTCAGCACCGAGGGAAGTTAGCTATTGATGAAAGTCAACAATAAAGCTGTTCGAAGTTCTCTTGGTGACATGTTAAGTCTCTGAACCATATAGAACAACTGAATTGACGTTAGGGTTGGGAAGTCGAATCTTGTTCTCTACACTGAGAGCAGCAGATTTCCACACTAATTTCAGGGCAATGAAGGTCTGTATTGTTTGATATAAGAATAAAACTTGGGCACTGTGGTAGAGTGTAATTCCATTATGGGTAAATTTTATTTTGATAGAGTCTCACAGTGTTATACAGTAATATTTACTGATTACGTCTCGAGCACAATTTATTGCTCATAATCATATCAAGTTAATCACACGACTTCCTAAATTCATTTATATAGTTCCATTGTTTTTCACTTGATTTGATTGGTAGTAGTATTTTCCATATTTCAGGTATGAGAGATGATTCATTCCTATTGCATGTGTTGGGTGTAGATTCGATGAACAAAGATTCAGTAATCAACCTCTCTCTTCACCTACCTAGATTACTTTTCAGAATTTTAACCCTCTCCCACCCTATTGTGTGGTTGTGTGTTAATGCATTCATTGCAATTGCCGAGCTTTTTTCTAAATTACTTATCTTCTCGGGGTCAACCATTCTTACCTTAGCTAAATTCTTATGTTCTGACAATCTGACTACCCCTGACCTACTAGTTTGACCTAGGTAGTTGACCCATAGTCAACTACATAGCTATGTTAGATTGTAAAATAAAACGAATAGAAGAAGGCAAACTACACACTAGTGTTTATAGAAAACCAACGCATTCTAATAGATATTTAGACTTTAATTCATCTCATCCTTTAACAGTTAAGGCAGGCTTAGTTAAGTGTTTAACAAACCGAACAATGGCACTAAGTAGCACAAAAAAGACCTAAATGATGAAATAAAACAGATAGAAGAGGCGTTGGTTCTAAATAACTATCCTCTAAAATTCATTAGGAAGATTGAAAAACGCCAAAAGAACAATAAAAAGAATTGTGAAACTGCTAATAATAACATAAATAAGAGAGAATATAAGTCATCTACAGTTATACCATATAAAGAGGGGGCATCTGAGACCCTACGTAGGATTCTAAATAAAGCAGGAATTAGGGTGGCATTTAAACCTACAAACTCACTCAGGGACAAGCTCTGTAGGTTAACGGACCCAGTGGACCCAATTAGACAAAATAATATAATTTACAAAATACCCTGCAATGACTGTGAGGTCAACTACATAGGTCAAACTAGTAGATCGGGGGTAGTTAGATTGTCAGAACATAAGAATTTAGCTAAGGTAAGAATGGTTGACCCCGAGAAGATAAGTAATTTAGAAAAAAGCTCGGCAATTGCAATGAATGCATTAACACACAACCACACAATAGGGTGGGAGAGGGTTAAAATTCTGAAAAGTAATCTAGGTAGGTGAAGAGAGAGGTTGATTACTGAATCTTTGTTCATCGAATCTACACCCAACACATGCAATAGGAATGAATCATCTCTCATACCTGAAATATGGAAAATACTACTACCAATCAAATCAAGTGAAAAACAATGGAACTATATAAATGAATTTAGGAAGTCGTGTGATTAACTTGATATGATTATGAGCAATAAATTGTGCTCGAGACGTAATCAGTAAATATTACTGTATAACACTGTGAGTCTCTATTGTTTGTTTTCCTGATATTGACTGACTTTTACTTTCTGATCTGTGCTGCTTGTAGTTTTAATACTCAGCCACCGAACCATTTAAAGTATACCGAGACTAGATAACAAGAGTTTGAGTAACGTCTGAACTATTGGTAACAAAAATTTAATTTCGTTACCTTAACACATTTTACCGTGTTGAGTATCTGAAATAATTTGGGATACTTTAGAAGACATCAGCTCCCATGATACTGTATGTATAATTTTGTTCTGCGTGTGGAGAAATACTAAATTTACGTTAAATGCTTCCTATCAACTGTCTTCTCATCTACCTAAAGGATGCCATTGCACCAGTGAATATTCTGTAATTAACTGAGCACTTTAAAGTAATCACCAACTTTTGAGTGATGGAACCCTAAAAGTCTAATTATGCTTTTTTTAAAGTAAACTTCTAGCTGTCACTTATTTTTTCAGATATATACAGTTATGGCTAACTGGCTTAAACACATAAATGTCCGTATAAAGTGTTCAAGCTGAGCTTGCATTTCTACGTCTGTATTAAATTACTTCGAATATTATAAGAAGTATTTGCAGATACGGTTAGCGATATTGAAAAACCATTGAATTAGTCAATTGTTATTGAAGCTACTAGATCATTTTGGTAACTCGGGATATACTTGATAGCCTTCTCAGTGTTGATGGCTTTGAATTCAAGTTGACTTCATATAGCTATATTTTTTTGTTGGTCAGGCTATTGAAAAAGTATTTGGATTAGTAGATTGATATTGTGATGTAATGGATTCTTATTGAAAGTGAGATTGAAATCTTGCCTTGTGGCAGATTCGAACCTAAGATATTTAGCTTATCAGTCTGTCTTCAGCTATGCGCACCTAAAAGTTGACCAGTTATTCACTTCACTACGGTTCCAAAGGCTTCACAATCCAGTTGTCATTAGATTTAGTGGGCCTTGTTTATGAGTTTAACGTCACTACTGTACCTGTTCAATTCCGAACAAAGATTTCTGTCTTAAAATTAATATATCTATATTGCATCATTATTCCATGAGTTTGAGATGTTTTAAAAACCATGAAGTACCGGACATCTGTTTCGCCTCATTTTGGAACTCTTCGGAATTACTCACTCAAAACGTCGCCGGAGATCGAATCCTTTTTCTTTATTCAAGATTTAAACTTAAAATATATGTTTGTTTCTTATAAATATATTAGTATATTTTTATTATTCACTATTTCTCTATCTATCTTTAAGGAGTATCGTAACAGTATTCCTGAAGCTTTTTCAAATCATAATAAAATACATAATCGATATGATGAAACACGCAATGGAAGAAATAGTGGCGGTGAAACATCGTCTGATAATGAAAATGTAAATCCCCCTCCTCCTCCTCCTACATCTACTGCTGCCATGGTCAATCGTCGACTTGCTCATTCTGGTTTATTTGTAAAACCATTGAATCCTGTTCAAAATCATCGAAGTAAAAGGGTAGACGCATATCCTAATCAACGAAATGGTGTTTCACCGACCAATTCTGTGCGTAGTATAGATGATCTTAGTGGTGCATCAAGTATACGAAGCAGTAAGGTCAGTCTTGTTGTTCTGTTTTTATTATCTTTAACGACTCTATTAACTTTGAAATATTGACTTTTGTGTGCTGATGGAAGTGTATCGATGGTTATTACTTCCGTGGAAGTTGATTTTTGCTCGGCGTATCTGAAACCGAAAAAGCATGAGTGTTGTATAACCTCAAAGCGCAGAGGACAACTGTTTAAGGCCAGTCACACACGGTCTGTTTGAAGTGGTTTATGGAGTTGTATCCGTATTAGGATATTACCTGCCGTCATAGACCGTCTCAAAGTAAGTCAGAGTGCATAATAATCAGGGTCAATCTTTTGTAATCCCTTCCTCTTCATAGTGCAGAAGCTGCGTAGATTGTTTGCTGCTTATCTGAGGTAAACACCTTACTGCTGTGATATCCCTATTCGCCAGCTATACAACTTCGTCTACCGAACTCACATAAGATAAACGACTTACAACATGAATGTAACAACCTTTCTGGCTGTGATAAAACCTGCAGGTACATTAGTTCCAGAAAGTGTAGCTCGTTAGGTCGTTGGAATATGCCAGCCTGTCCATCGCAACGAAGTAGCACCTATCGTTCGGGTTTTGAAACATTGATTATGGGACAAAGAATGTTCTTTTCGATAACTACTACCTGAGGTTTTCTATTTATTAATAATGGAGGTCGCTAGTTCGAATCCTGCTGTGAATTCTTCGGTCATCATCGGTTATATCTGTAATAGTCAGTCTGCCAACCCAATCCTGTGTATGTGCAATTGAATTGAGAAGCAATTTCCCCACTGAGTTCTAACTTGCACTTATACACGGAATAAAGCCAACACAATTTAGAATATAGTGGTAATTTTGTATTATCACAATTGTAACAACAGAAGACAAGGGCCAGGCAATAGATCGTTTATCAAGGAAAATCAACACATATTTATAGATTTTAATGTACATTATTGTTAGTAGAAAATACAGTCTTTTGATTGGTTGTTTCTCACAGAAAGTTCACCATGCATCTCTTTGTGGCTGTGTCAGATCATCCATATGTTAACTGTATCCGCCTACGTAAAGCCTTTGTTCTCATTTTCTCACCACCAATATTGGGGACATAAAAATTGACGTTAATTACTGTCTACCAACTTTGGCTAACAGCCAGCTCTCACCATTCAACCACTGGACGGAATTCAATGACCTCATGTATTCTGACTTCTGCCGCCAATTCTAGATTTTTACCACGACCGTCAGTCAATATTATCACCTAGTATATTTGTCCTCAACACCCGAATAGATCATAAAATAACATCACATTAATCATTGTTTCTTCAAAAGTCTTTATAATTATTTCTATGTGTGTAGAGTGAAACTTTCACTCAAACTTACATGTATCAAAAGTATCATCATGTCTCCACTGAAACGTTGACAGTGATAATATTGAGGTTTTAGTTTTTTTTTAATGTTTGTATCTATCATATGCGCTGCTAGCAAACAACTAATAAACATAATAAATTTTCGGGTTTATACTATTCACATTGTTCCTTGTTTAACGGTTGATTTCTTTGCTGCACTGTGAATCACTACTTCTTAAAGGTACGATTTATTGTATCCCATATGAAAGTTTACCGTTGTTTTTCTCCTTACTATAGAAGCTTATCCAACTAGACAGACAGTTGCTGCTTCAGTCATTCCATTATGTATCAGTAATGTTATTTATTACTTAAGAAAAAGAAACAAACAGTGTATGCAGTCAGTCAGTCAGTCAGTCAGTGATACATTTTGTTGACTGGCTGATTGTATAGTTAGTGAAAACAAACTGTCATGTGTTTCTTCTTCTTACTTTAAAGATGATGGTTATGTAAGACTTCATATTTCAATGTTATTCTATTTTAAAAATAATTTTGTTTTGTGTACAGTAAATGAAATGAAATGCAGTTGAAAATAATCTTAAGCACTTGAAACATTCTGGCAAACAATCCTACTGTTTGTTTATTATTATGTTCTTCACATGTGTCTAAAGCTGTACGACTAAGACTTTTTCTTATAGATGCTTTAGCCGTGCCAAGAAAGTAAATGACACACTAATCAAGGCAGTCTAGTCGATCTGATGCAGCCGTGTAAAAGCTTACAGAGAGTTGCCCCCCCCCCCCCACTAATTGTGACTTAGGCGATTTAAAGATAAGCTTGTTACCAGGGGACACACAGTCTCATCTATGATGTTGTCCTTTTGGGTGTTGACTCTGACAATATACAGAGGCTTCTGAACATCTTCAGTGGAAATCCTGGTATGTTGCAGTAACTGGAGGCCGTTATGGAAATGGGTCAAAACTGTTCTCAGTGGTGCAGATGCATTCAAGCTATGTATTATCCACGTCGACTAAGTACTCATGTTTTCCGATGTTACTATTATTTCTCCTACACATTTCTGCTTACTATAGTTCTTTTTAATTTTGTTTCTCTTCTTTATCTTTGTGTATTATATGGTATGTGGTAATTTGAATTACATGTCTATTTGTGCAGAGTTGTGTGTTGGTGGCACAGTGGTAGGAAGGCTCGCCGACCACCCATTTGGTTCGGGGTTTAATCACCGGCCCACGCACTCCTTTACCTCGCTAAGTCAGTAATAAGCCTGGTAAAGAGGGTAGGTTGTGTATGAGGCTAGCAACCCCGTCACCACTGCTACTGAAACTTCAAGCCTCTAGCTTGAAGTCCTGTGTTCCATTGGGAATGTAAAGGAATAAAACGAATCTGTGCAAAGTTCTAGTTTGAAACTTGGTCAGTTAGTTTTGGAACTTTATTTAGTTTTGAGTCTGTGTTTGTTCTTTCTTGATACTTTTCTATTATAAACACGATCTAGTAATTAGTGTTAATTCTCACTAATTTGGAATATATGGTTCGTAAATTGTTGTAGATATTGAAAGCGTTGATATTTAGCTCAAAATAAAACTTGAAAAGACCATGTTATGTTATTCTATGAACTCTGATCATAATAGTGGAGGGTTACCTTTTCAATAAAAGTCGTTTTCAACTGAAAGGTTCATCAGGCACTTTGTAATGTGCCAAATCCCAATACCTTATTGAGGTGTGGGGGGTAGTAGCTATTAATTGTAAACTGCAGTTGTAGAGTATCCCAGTTTTTATTTTCTGGTACATGTTGTTAATAAACATTGGTTACATTAGTGTGGACCATCAGTCAACGTGTGCGTCGGTGGCATAGCGGTTAGGACGCTCGCCGACCATGCACATGGTCCGGGGTTCGATCCCCGGCCACAGACGCACTCCTTTACCTCGCTAAGCCAGAAGTAATGCTGGTGAAGAGGGAAGGTTGGGCATGAGGCTAGCAACCCCATCCTGTAAAATAAACACTGTTACAGAAACTTCAAGCCACTAGCTTGAAGCCCTATGTTCCACTGGGGACCGTGAAGGAAAAAACAACATTAGTGTGCACCATTAGTCAACGTGCTCCATGTGTGTGGAACTATCGTGTATCTAAATAAAATAGGACTGGCTAATTGATACTTACACCTACGTGTATGCAGTCTTTTCTATTCACTTGCAGTTTCCATGTCATGCACATGTATAGTAGGCGGGAGAGTGAGAGAGAGAGTGTGTGTGCGACTGTTTTGTACTTCAAGTCTTTGATAGACCACATTATATGGCACTTAACTATTTTTATTTATATATTGACGTGAAATTACAGTTGATTACTACACCCGGGTCAAGACATCATTCTTCATGTAGGTTATATGGTTGAATCCCGATTTTTACCAATAACGAAGAGCTAGGGTAAATATGCCTTTACAATTGTCAGTTGCATAGTACACTGCAAACCGTCTTCCGAATCCCCTAACCCTTTGACCAAACAGGTTTGTTGGAGTGTGAATATTTTGAGTTAAATCACTTTGCCAACATCGTATTTCGTTACACACTCTGAAAATTGTTCGTTGTTTGTCTAACTCTTATATATGATTGTGATGGTGCCTTCACCAAGCTTGGCTTTACCTTTACTAAAGACTCTAAAATGGCATATTTTTGTATTTGTCACCTAATCCTTCAAGTATCTATGATGTTTCAGGTTAGAGTTAGGTTAGAAGTATACACTACTGACTGATTAAGCTGAGTAACTACTAACACTCACTAAAAACAGCAGTGCTTGCTAGCCAGCCAGGTTGATCTAAACACCGGTCGCTCGTTTGGGGCCGATCTCATCAGTGGTGTGCACTCAGTTTGACTCAGCTCAGAGAGCCGCACAAGCTCAAACTACCCGATTTCGGATTAGCTACCTGATCGAACTGGTCATATCATAAGTCGAATTCGGTCATCCGTTTGCAACTTGCACAATTCAAGTGGTGAAATTCCCCTTAGTTTCCTTTGGCCACCAAGTTGATATGGGTGGTATGCAACTACTCATCCCAATCAATCAGTAGTATATACTGTTATACAAATTTACTTGCCTTCTTGATCACCATTTAAGGTATCAAGCAGATCACACATATTTGTGATCTGGATAACTTGGTTTCCAAAGGAAACCAGGATGAAATTTTTACCATCCGAACTGTGTAGATTGCAAACTACTAACCGATTTGAAAAATTGTGATTTGGACTTATTCTCTCGGATTGTGTATTTCATACCCTTATCATATTTCATAAAATTATTTATCCCCTGGAATTTTCTTTAGCGTGTGTGTGTGTGTGTGTGTGTGTGTGTGTATATATAGATCAGTTACGGCATGAATTAATGGTATTGTTCCTTTTTTTCCCTTGAGTTCAAGTTGACCTAAGACTCATCAGATTTCATTGTCTTTTTAAGCTTTTATCTATTTATTTATTTAGTGAAATATATATGTATATATAGACGTTATAACTAAACAAGATATCTCCCTTAAGGTCAGCTTCATAGAATGCTAAATGTCTCGTGTCATCTATGTGTGTTCAACATTTGGGAAGAGAATTGTTAAATACGTATAATTCTAATCAGTTTGTGTATGTATGTGTGTGCGTGAAATAATTGTCAGAATTAATTTATACACACGTGAGGGGAGATATGTTTAACTAACTTTCGTATATATGATTTCGGAATTGTAGAGGTTGGAATTCTTTGCATTAGAACTTCATTGTTATTATACTTACTAGATGTTATCTAGTGTGTAAGAAATTGCTTAGGTATAGAATTCTTTCCTGGGAAAATGGGAAATTTAAACCAGTGTCTTGTAGTTCACCGGTAGAATGCCCGCTTGACTGACGCACTTCTAAACCTTCTGGTAGAGCGGAAAGGTTAGGCCATGAGGTTAGCAACATCTCTCTGTAAAAAGCAACAGCACTGCTACTGAAACTTCAAAATGCAAAGGAATGAAAAAAATATCTTCGTGGATCTGTGTTCAGTCCTCATCCCTCTTAATTGTCCTTGTCATTCACGGTAAATTTATAGGATACATCTTAGGATATATTACATGTAGATAAGATTTTCGTGAGTTCTCATGGAATACCATTTACCTAGAAAACTTGAATATATGTCAATCAAAATCAGCTAGTTTGTTTTTAAATTGACTTTTACTCAGCCCTTTACATATGTTTTTTATTTGCATAACCAATCAATACTTAACATATGTCAGTGTTTCTATGACCATCCTCCATGTTCTTCAAATGGTATTTAATCTTTAGTTGATTATATCATCACAACTATTGTGATCAGTGATGAACACATGGGCTAATTTACATTAATTATCATTTCTTAGTTATTTGGTTTTGTAGGGATTGTGTTTGATTGGTTGGAGAACCATTGGAAAACCTGGGAGTACTAGACGTCTGTTTCGTCCTAGTTTGGGACGGATCCCAGTGGCTTAATGGTCAACGAACTCGCCATGTAACCAGAAGCTCCTTGGTTCAAACCCTGGTGGTGGGTGCGTACTGATAAAGAGTCCCAAACTAGGCTGGCGAAACAACTGTCCGGTACTGCTTATTGGTTTTCCAATCATTATCTAACTGATGTCAGCTCATGATGAATTCCTCCAACTAATTATCATTTCGTTGACATTGTATCTGGCGAAAATAACTTTATGATGAAGTTATTTTCGATAGGGTTTATTTTCACGCATAACCGTAAACATTCTAAATGAAACAGATAAATATACACAGCACAGGTTTAGTCTTGTCTGTTTTTACATTTCATACCAGCAGTTGGACTAACGTAAATCACCAAGAGATTTGGTGACATAATAAAGAAATGTGCGACATAATAGTTCTGTATGAGTTATGTAACGTTGAGCCCCTCTCTGCCGATTTCATCTACTTCAAAAATTCCCCCCCCCACCTTAAAATAGTCTATTTTACTTCCAACATTGATCTGACCTTTTTCTTGTCCACGACTCTATGCATTTTTCCAATACGCATCATATTTTAACTGTAATGACGCCTTCGACTGACAAAGATGTATAGTTCATCTTTTTTGCAATGGTAGCCTATTACTTAACATGTGCATTAGTCACAATCTTTGTAATGATGCTCACTATGATTGACGTACACATACACACACCGATTTTTGTCAATTAACCAGTTCTCAGTGTCCTGTAGAGTTTTGCACATTCATCATCAATCTAGTATTGATTGAAAAAAGTATTGTGAATTGTAAAGTAATCATCTAATTATATTTAAGCTTTAACTATGTACATTTTTTCCGTACATTAATAATCTGACGAATCTCAGTCTGTTACTTTAACCGGCCAAGTTAAACTTTAAACACCACTAACTAACAATGGACTGCGACGGTACCAATGACCTTGAAACGCTCACTGAGCAAGTTAGTGAAATCTGGCAAATAATTTTGTCAACATCAATAAAATATGCTCATCGAAGTGTTATGCTATTAAATGGGATATCTGTCAAGTTTCGGCTTAGGTTTGGGGAAGATTAAGTTACGGTTTAAACCAAGGGTTAGGTTAACCTTATAAATGCGATATTGGGGTTGGTTCTAGTTAGATTACAATTAGCTTAGGGATATTTTTACGTTGGGTTTAGGTTCAGGAAAGATAAGGGTTATTGTTAGGGTTAGAAGACCTAAATAATTACATGCATAGAATGTGGTTAAATTACTCTATTGATATAAGAATAGAACTTGTGCACTGTGGTAGAGTATAATTCCATTGTGGGTAAAATTTATTTTGATAAAGCCTCACAGTGTTATACAGTAGTATTTATTGATGACGTTTTGAGCACCATTTATTGCTCAGTAAATATTACTGTATAACACTGTGAGACTTTATCAAAATAAATTTTACCCACAATGGAATTACACTGTGTTGATACTCCAACCTAAAACTGAGAGCTATTATTATCACATATGAGAGAAAGATATCCTCTGTAACACTTTTATACAATTTTTGTGCAATTTTTTTCATAAATATATGTATTCCATGCACAAAAATACCTCCTTCACGTGATTGGTGCGTTCGAGATCATTTGTTGATTGGTAGTTAGTGGTACTTAAAGTTTAACTTTGCCCTTTAACTGATGTATATTTAACTGGCTATTTTGCTGTCTTTTTATTCAACCATTTCGGAATACATGCTATTGAAATCATTCAACATACATAACAGATATCTGAAAAAACATTCTAGCACTTTAATGACGGCAGCACGAAAGAGAAGGATAAAGGTTTAAAAAAAGGCTACGTTTGAAGGCTTATATTAAGATGCGTTTGAGGGGATTGTTATTGTAGGTGCACCATGTAATATGATTTGATAGGTGAATTGAAGCGGAATCGTGCAGTGTTTAGGTTCTCTTCTTTTACTATGCATAATTATAAGGATGATAGAAAGTGTTATTAGATAAAGCAATAAGAAGACGTAATTTGTCTGAATCGTGTAATGTATTTGCGCAACACATTTCGAACAATCTGATCACACACGGACAAATTACGTCTTCTTATTGCTTTATCTAAATTCATAAAGGGAACTAATTGTTTTAAATTTCTAAAGAAAGTGTTATGTTGTTAAAGTTTTAAATTTCTCCGTGTAAATATAATTTCATTATTTATCTTCAATTTTTATTCTTTTGCCTTTCTCCAGAGTTCTATTGCCTTTGAAATAAAAAATGATCATAAATCAACTGTCCGACGTGGACCTGCACGATTACCTTCACAAATCAATGGTAAATCAGGGAAATCAAACAAGATGAACAGTGGTGCTGGTGGTGGTACTGGTGGTGATCGTGTTATTCAACGAATTAATTGTAAACCTGCATTTAATGAAAGTAAACTAGCGACAGCTACTCCAATTATTCCACAAAGACATATTGCACCTTAGACTTTTTATCAACTGTGTACTAATATAAGTAAGTAAGTAAGTAATATTTTTGTTACTATTGTGACTGACCAGAGTCACCACCGTCTACAAGTTTCTGTTTGTTTATTTGAGTTAATTTCTTTCTATTTCCCGTCTATTGATTTGATTGAATCGAAATGTTTAGCCTATGTTGACATGTTGGCTTCTAACACGGACGTTTTGATGTGTTATCTGAGGATCAATGTGTTATTTGCTGGATGGGTAACTAGCTGAGGAATCCGTTGTGCGCATTTCTTTCTATTCGGGACGAATGTACCTGGATTTCCAGTGAGTGTACGTGTATTCCTACTGGGACTGCAGTCGAACACCCATCGTTTCAAACACCAAAGCATTATCGACTGGGCAATCGGAGCCGCTTCTTGTGCAGCGGGTTTGTTTATTCTTATTATTCCCTTGGGTTCCGGGTGGTACATAGGGCTTCAACAACACATCTCCACTTAGTTCTATTTGGTGTTGTCCTCTTCATATGGGTCCACAATTGCCCATAATCTCTCATCTCCTCCAGCTCACACGATCTCCTCCGTGTCACCCTCGGACAATATTATTTAATTTTAGATAGGAGGATCCTGGATTCCACTGCTAGTCACCACCCATCAAATAACATTATATTTGTTTACGTGACAAAAGAACGTACTTTTCGATAAATTATATCTTCAATAATTACGGTGAAGTGTTAATTCACATTCCTGGGAGTTTTGAATGCATAGCCGTAGTGGAAGTACACAAGTTAAAGAAAGAAACGGAAAATATTTTGTTTGTATTCCGTGAGCATCTTGACTGTCCAATGGTATACGCTATTATTATTTAATATGATTAGCTGGAAAGCATTCACGTCAAACAGAGTTATTTGCTAGCCAGATCACAGTGATGGCCGTTTCTCTCGTCATCAGTGTGTCCGGATAAACTTCTCTCAGATAGCCAAACCAACCTACTAAACCTTGTCGAATTCTGACTAGCTCTCTAGACAAACTTTTAATATCTCATGTGAAATCTATCATTTTTGTAATTCACCTGGTTCGAGGTGAAAATTCACTGTAGTTCCCTTTAGAAACCAAAAGTATTCAACTCACAACAGGCGATCTACTCGACGCCACAAAATGGTAATCCAGAAAACAAGCAGAATATCGTAATGTTATCTACTACTGTCTCTAATTCTATAGTTTATTTCGACGTTGTATGAAAGTCATCATTAGATAATCTTCGTTCTAATCTTTTCGAGTAGTGCTTTCCGTAGTAGTGTTTGTTAATAAAGAGAGTATCAGTCTATATACCTGAATTTGTCGTGCACTGCTGTTTTGTTTGATTTGATTTAATTTTCCGGATGAATAGAGATTTATATTATCAAAAATTATCTTTAAATTAAATACTTTTTCAACATGAATAACCAATCCTTCTTTTTCTTGTCCCATTTCTTTTGTAGATATGAATTTTTTTTACAAATCAAAGAGGTCTGTGCATCAGTTTATTATATTTCAATTATCAAGTGGCAATACTTGAAATATTGAATGCCAATTTTTTAATTCCCTTTTTTTTGTTATACTTCCAAGACCCCCGTTTTGTCTCTTTTTAATACTTATTCAATAAATCGGAATGCTTTGTACATTCCAGTTCATTTGATTCAGGCTAAGATGAATCGGGGTTTGGTTTTTCTCTTCTTTTTTTCTATACCCCCTCTTGTTGTTGCTGTAGTTGTTTCACATTTGTCTTTTAATCCACACGCAAAGTTTTTTTTCTTGTGTGTGTATTAATATTGTACATTTCTTTGTTTAATTTTTAAAGAAAATTTTTAAACTGTAAAGTTAACTGAATACCTATCTACGTAAGTATCTTTTGTTTAGTTTTCTTGAGTGACTCTCAGTCCGATTTTTTTTAACATGTTTGTGTATGTGTGTATACATATAGTACTGCTAAAATCCTTAATATTTTCATTCAACACCACACATTATTCTTCCAATGCTTTTATTTTCTACACAAAAATTTTTTTTAAAAAAAACAAAAGAAAAAAAAGTGAAAACCGACCGAATAATCCCGGTTTCCATCCATGCTGCCTATTTTATCCTAAAAAAAAAAGAAAATTCTCTGTATATTTCTCAAAAATGATTAATAATAATAAAAGTATGTGATTTTCTAACACAGTGCAGTTGATTATTTTCTGATATCTGCCATAATGTTGTTCTGCCAACGGAAACTTACAGGTTACTTAGACTAGTAAGTATAGTTCATTAGTTCCTAATCAATGCGCTCGGTTGGCTGGCTGGATTCAACATAGAACTTGGCACCGAAGTGCAGCAGTTCGAGTTGCCACGTCCCAAAGAGCACACAAAGGTAGACAAGAAGATGAGTGAAGAGAATCAGTAGAGTTTTGACAAGTATTAGAGTGAAACAGAATGAGTAATGGTAGAAAGGAATATGAAAGATCACAGAGACTGAATACATCTGCGCCATTGACAACGATTTTGAGCCATGTCACCTATTGTCTCCAGCCATTGATTCTTAGAGTCCCGAGGGCGGGCCCCAACCTGGAAGTCTGCATCTCCCTACCTGACTCAGTTTAACTGTCAAGGATTTCATGGATTGATTCCATGTTTTTGTTTGGCCACCACTTACTCTCTTCCAGCCTGCACATATATCAGCTAGTAATGCCCGTCGAGGGAGGCGATGGTTAGGCATGCGTAGCACGTGACCTAGTCATCTCAATCTATGTAACTTTATAGCCTCTTCGATTGATTTTCCCTCTTTGCCCAATACTCTACGCCCAACGTCACCATTACTTACCTTATTATACCACCTAACGTGAGAAAGAGATCGTAGACATCTATGATCAAAGACAGTCAACCTCTTCATGTCTTCAACTCGTATTGGCCATGTTTCAGAGCCATAGAGAAGGACGCAGCGAATCGCTGAACAGTACACACGTCCCTTGGTTGATAGCCGGATTTCACGCTCGGTACGCTCAACGGAAGTGAAGTTTCATGTAGTGTAGTTGTCATAACTTCAAACCTTTCGTATATGTAATTGGGTGACACATTCTATTAACAATTTGTGGTCTTCGTTATTTTATTGTCTGAAAATCGATATCGTTGTTCAGTAGCTTAATTTGCTCATCATTTGTGTTCCCATCCTCTTTATTATTATGTTACATCTGATAATTCTGTGGATAACTTTGTGATGCTAAATTAGTCAACTTTTCTGTATTTTTAAACCTACTCGGAACGGATTTTTCATGCATCAGGCTAAGAGTCACGAGTATCGTGTGAGGGGCTGATGAACTATCCCGTTGTCCTTGCTGAAGTAAATAGAGCGGTACTCAGACCCTTGACCTATCGACTAGGAACCAGGTTCTCAGACGAATGATTTACAAAACTATTAACTGAATTTCAGTCGATTAATTAGTAACTGGTTTTATGACTGGTGGTGGTAGTGTTCATGATGTTAGATGGGTCCTAGGATTAATAATTCTTAGATTGGTCCTACGGAAGAGTTACGGAGTATGAAGAAATGCCTTGTCATCATATTTTGGCTTTCAGTAGTCCTCTAAGTTATTCATGTTGAAATATTTAAGGAACGTAGATAAATTATGCGGTTTCGAGAAGTTTGCAAACAAATAAACGAATGCTCAGATTATGGGTTTTTGGATTAATTTCAGTGTAGATCTCGTCGCCAGCCGACATCAGTTAGAGATAATTGAAAATCGATCTAAAACCCCCAGCAGTGCACACTCATGATACCGTTAGGGGTCGAACTGGGGACCCTCACGTTACGACAGTGAGCTTATTGACCATTCAGCCACTTTAGTCGGAGTTCAGTGATTTGTGATTTCTAACCCTTAACTAGTGCCCTCGATTAGCATCCACTTCACCTTAACATGGTAGACCCCAATGATTACGACTTCTCAGTATAGCTTCACGACCTTCATCCAGTAGCCATCAATGAGTTGGAGACTGATTTTTAGATTATGGCTTTTTGTAGGGATTCGGATTAATGCCAGTGTAGATTTCGTCATGAATGCATTAGAATATAATAAACAATCGTTATATTCCACAAATACTCTTTTCAGAACTGTCCCCAAGAAACAACATACACTTAGATAAGTAAATAGTAAACTATGATCCATTGGTAACTGATGCTATTTTTATTTCTTTACGCTCCCAGTGGAACATATGGCTTCAAACTAGAGGCTTGAGGTTTCGGTAGCAGTGGTGTTTATTTTTATGTGATGGGGTTGCTAGCCTCATGTCCAACCTACCCTCTTTACCAGTCTTATTACTGACTTAGCGAGGTAAAGGAATGCGTGGGCCGGTGATCGAACCCCAGAGCACATGCGTGGTCGACGAGCATTCCACCGCTGTGCCACTGACGCACAACTGATCTTGTTAAAGCTTTATAAAATATAATGTGCTGTGTTGAGCGTTGACCACTTCATGCACTTAGAGGTTGGATGTTCCCTAATTGATTGATTTCTGAATGGATATGAAGAGTTGTTTGGTGTTTCCAACTGTAGTCATCTTGGATGTATCGTGGGATATCATGCATTTAAACCAAGGTTGTAGTTTCATGCAACGGATCACCCTGTCCTACTTTGTGGTTGTAAGATATGACAACTTTTGTTAAGGAAAATAAAAATACAGGTATTTGACTATGGGTTCCTCTTTTAGGTAGACAAATATGGCAAGCATTAGTTTTAGATAAGAACAGTAAGTTTATTGACAAGATAACGAAGCCCACTTAACCATGGTTGCTATGACAGGTGATTTGCATGCTTAGCCACCTCCTTCCTGAATGGGTAGTGCTAGCTGAAGTAGGACCAAAATACGGCATCAGTTCATGAAGACATTAATTGTTTATCTAAGTTGTGTAGGCAGATTTCGATTGTCTAATTGAGATGTTCGCAATGCTAAGTATCCATAGTGGAAGGCTCTATAACATGTTTACAGTCATTCACAGTGGCACAGATATATTCTCAACTTACGGCTGATGTCATTAACAATGGTTACAAAGTTAGGAAAAGGTGAAGAAACCGTACTATGGAAGATATAATAAAGTTAACAGAATATAAGATAATGAACAAGGGACTTTCGCTCGTTGATGGAAGCATGTCGGCAAAGGGCTAGCCAGCTGTACTACTGTTGCGCCTTGAATAGTAGGGGTCGGGAAAATGATCCATTGTAATCGGTAATTTATACAAATGAAACTTCATATATTCTGTCATTTTCAAACAAGCCGTGTTATTGCCGACTTAAGACAGGAATAAACTTCTCTACTAGTCCTGCAAAACTAGTACTTCTTATGTCTTCTTACTTCAGCAGTCAAATCTCGCAGAATGTATTACCAGGCGACCAGTAGTGTGTGCTTACTCAGGCACTTGTATTTGTGTTAGTCAAGGCTTTACTGGTTATTCCAAATCCGTGACATAAAGAAAACGCCTATAGACATTAAGTTACCTGCGTTAATGATCACGTTAAAAGCTAATTAGACAAGAAGTGATCAGTTGACAGTGTTTGTACGATGAAGTTGAACAGTTTTATCCTCACATCTAGTTATCACTAGATAAATGCCAACATAAAACCAACATTTTAAGTCATGAGCATTAAACTACAAGTTTCCGAGTATCAGCCTTCAGATCTTGTTGTTGTTCGTGATCATTAAAAAAAACTTTTTTTAGAAGAAACGAGTTAATCTTTCTATATTTACCACATTTCAGCTTTGTATGTATGCAGCTGTGACGAATATGAATTACTGTCTTTTTACTCAATCATTTCGAGTTCTTTTTTCATTTTTTGTTCAATGATAACGCTTGTTTTAATTTATCCAGCAACGCCTTTTTCAAAAATGGAAGAAATCAATAACGGTTTGCGTGCAACAGCAAATATTCAAAGTCTTATTGTCTTATGTAACAACAATCCAACCGTTGATTTCTTCAAATTTATAGGAAATTAGACAGTCTCGTCGGCGTCGTGTTCACTCATCGTTTGATCACCATCACAGTGAACTGCTTAGAGGTATTTACCTCAAAAAGACAAATTGATATTTCACTTTCTTTTGTGAATTCACTGGCATTATAATCCATTCCAGGAATTATTCTTCTTGCTTGTCAGTCACTTTATTTCATCGCGTTTATACTTTTTATTCAAAATAAACGCATCTCAGACTTCTGTTCTATGTTGGCAGAGTATAAAGCGTGAAATTTCGCGGGTTTATTGCCTCCTGTTTAACATATGTGCTTGTGGATGTTGTTCTTGTTGTTGAAGACGAAAATGAAATATGAATTGCAGAAACAGTTGTCTGACGCACTACTGGATAGTCGGTAATCACAACTGACTCGAATCTCTGTGTGATTCATTTCATTCATCATTGCCATAATATCGTAGTTTTATTCAAGTAAAAAAGAAAAATACGATTTGAACGTCTATATCGAATCTACGCTGATGATTGGCTTTTGAAACACAACACTGATCAAGTTATCCAGTACCTTTATGTCCTAGTGATCTAGTATCTTAGGACTGGAGGTGTTGTTGAATGATTCACATTCTGTAAATCACTACGATCATCTATGGATTTTCTTTAAGATACTGTGAAAAGACTTCCATGCTTTCCATTCGTAACGAATACAGCTTAATTAGAATTTAGAAAAAAGAAGGTATATGGGTAGACATACAACTTTGACAAATGTGCACACATAAGTCAATTAAACAATTCGACTTTCGTGAAATC